TATCTTGAAAAACCTGTAGGCTCATATCCTCTGGTGAGGTTGCCAGGAAGGGCTTAAAGGAAAGTGGAGACAATCTTGTTAGAAACTAGAGGAAAGGGGATCCTTCTAATGTGGTAGCACAAGCTTTATAAAGCAACACTGTTGCTTGCAGTGCTGTAGAAACTAGAATACGCATGATGAACTGGGTGCTACAGCTAAGAAGATTTCCAGCTAGACTTGAAGGTGCCACCTGATTTATGCTTAAAGAGTGAGAGGAGAAAGTATGCTAAAGAAAGGACTGATAAACCTGAAGGAGCTGGGACTCGATGGTTTTCATCATGTCAGCCTCTCCAAACAGTAAATGATGCTAAAATTAAGAAATGGCTTCTTCCAAGTGAAAGGGAGAAATAATAATTTTCCTCAACCTTCATAAGTCTGTGGTTGGGATGGACTCCTGCAGCAAAAAAAACAGATGAACAAGAGAAAAACAAGCACATTTAGTAATGCTGCCGTGTAGTTCACACGAGAGAAAAGTAACTCAAGAGTGACTTAGAATGATTTAGAGTCCCAGCTTATAGAAGATCTTCAACAAAGAGCGATAAATTTTAGAAATGTGACAGGACAGAGGAAAGCAGTTTTAGGCTTCCAAAGTCAGGAGAATGTGGGCAGGTAAATTTACAGGAAAAGTAACAGAAGAAAGTCTGTTCAGATTCCCCTGGCACCTTCTCTAAGCTGATAAAGGTTGTTGTAATGAATTTACATCCATCCTCTCTTTAGGCAGGAACAGTGGTTCAGGTTTGAAAGACCATTTGTTTTTGTAATTCTCTGTCCTGCTTTTAGGCAAACAGGTAAGGCAGAGAGCTCCTATGCATCTTAATTGCCTTTAGCTAAAAAAAAAACCAATTATTTTAAAGAAGCATATTTTAGGGTGAAGTATTCTGGTTTCTTTCTTGAGCAAGGATCAGATCCAAGGCTTTGTCAGAAAAACTAAGGACAAAGCTGAGAGTGTGGCTGTAGAATGTTTGTTAATATTTAAAAAAAAATCTAAGTTTCTGCCTCAGAGTACTTTTCAGTCACGTAAAAGGGCCTCTAAAGAATGACTAATGATGTGACTGACAGATCCATTCAGTCAAACAAGAGGGCTTCCAAGAAACTTATGGAGATGGTCCTTATCTGGCAGCTATTTCAGCAGAATCTCAAGGTAGAGGAGGGCTTATCTGAAAAAGATTTGTGCATGTGGCTTTTGTTTAATGGAAAGAACCCCAGTGAGATTCCTAGGAGACCCACAAAGCTTAAGAGAAATGTATTTTAAGGATCACCACTAGCTTGGATTAAAGGGGACAGAGACTACAAAATGAAAAGATGTCTTTGGACCCCCAAACTTCTACAAGCAGGAAGCATGATGAGAAAACTACTCAGCAGAAAGCAAGTGCTACCTTTCATGGAAAAGAAAGAATGACTCAGAGGACTGAACCTGGAAGATGGATCCCAGAGCTCTCTGAGGGACTTCCATTGACACCACGTGGAGGGGAGGCCTTGGTACTGCTAAGTGGTGGTGAAAATACTGCACTCAACAAGTCACCTCTGGAACCACTCCTGCAGGCGAGGGGAGGAGCACCTTGTGACTGATGCGTGGGGTGTGAGTCCAGGCTCCTAAGGTGGTCTCCATTAGTGCAGATGGGAAAGGGGGATAGTAGTTCATGCTCAAGGGGGATGAATGTCCCAACTTTCCTCTTGTTCCCCATGTAAGGAAAGAGGTTGGGGTGCCTCCTCTTATAGCCAGACAGGGATGGAAGTCTCTGCTTTCCACTTGGTTGTTACTGGTGGAGGTGGGGTGGAGTCTCACTTTTTTCTCTGGTGTTTATCTGGAGTTATTTATTGCCTCAAACTTTTCTGTCTTGCTGCCCTTTTGATGTTCCTTTGGCTAGAGAAAGCAGTCTTTTTTGGGCGGTGGGCAGAGAAGGGAGGAAGTTTCTTTGCACTTGGTGTTCCTGGGTTGCTATATTATTTTTGCCTTCTATACCCGAAGTGGGATATAGAAGGCAAAAATACGATTTTTTTTTTCTGCTTTGTAGTTCTACTTACTGATTCTTGACCTTATATGCAGCTATCTTTCAAATTCTCATAATTCCCACAGTACTACTGATGCTTAGCATTTCCAATAAAGTTATGTTTTTTGCTGATAAAAAGAAATATAATGTACATGGTTTTTAGTTTTGCTTATAAGAATAAAGAAAAATATGTCTGCTCCATCTTCCCAGAAGGCCCTACTTGCATTTTATTGTCCAGGACTAAGTCATACTGACACCTTTAGCTGTCATCCCAGCTACTTGGGAGGCTGAGGCAAGAGCCTGGAAAATTGAGCTTTTATACTGTTTGGCAAAGTGATGAAATAAACAGCATTTTTTTAGGAAAGAAGTGGAGAACAGGTATTGGAAGGCAATTAGCTGTCCCTAATAATACATTGACAAAATATATAACTAAAGCTGCAAAATGCTAATAAACCAGTAGAGAATTTGATTTGGGAAACATAAGATGAAAAAGTCAACAAGCTGAGGATAAATGGAGTTATATCATTAAAGTATGTTTTTCAGAACAATTTATTTACATAGAGAAATATGGCAAGATACTTAAATCTATATGCTACCCTACATATCAGTTCATCGGGACCTCCTTTTCTTCTTGACAATGCTATAGAAATATTCATAAAATATTGTACATTAAAGAGTATTAAAATAATTGACCTTTCACAGGTATCTAAATGTATGCCTGCAACTTCCTGAAAGTTGTCATCCTCTAATCTAAAGTTAATGTGTTTAATATTTCTTATTTTATGATGGTTGTGATTGAATAATATATTTAAAAACTGGAAAAATTGAAACATAGAATGGATTTAATTAATTTTATTTACGTTTATTGATTCTTTTGACTTTAGTACTGGGATTGCTCTCCCTGGCCCTGGATTTAAGAGATAGCTTGCTCTTTTGCAATGATGGCATTCTTCTATATGATATGGAATAAAAGAGGGAAAAAAGTAGTTTGAGCTCTTTGTTCAGATTTGGTTGGGGTTGGAGAGGGGAAGGTCATAAAATTCCCAGTTAAAGTTTCCTAGATTCACCATCTCTTGCAAAGTATGAACCAATTAGAATAAAACAAAGTTTGGCGGGTTTTTGTGGAAAAAAAAATAATAATAATAAAGTTTTTTTCACAAAAATTGTACAAGTTGTTTTTCACAAAAGTTGTTGTTGTTTTGCCAATTGACAGTACAAAAGCTGAATCTGAAAATTGTGATTCAAGCACTATAGATTTTACATTTTGAATTTCATTACTTCTTCTTCCTTCTCTTCTTTGCCTGCTTCACCTTATTCTCCTCCTCCTACTTCTCCTCCTCCTTCTCCTCCTCCTTATCCTCCTCGTTATCCTCCTTAGGGAAGAAGTGGAGAACGGCCTCACCTCCACTGACACCATGTGGAGGGGAGGCCTTGGTACTGCTGAGTAATAGTGAAAGCCCTGTACTCAACAAGTCCGCTCTGGCACCACTCCTGCAGGCAGTGGGGAGGAGCACCTGTGACTGATGCATGGAGTGCAAGTCCGAGCTCCTAAGGTGGTCTTCACTAGAACAGATGGGGAAGGGGGTTATTAGTTCATGCTCAAAGGGGATAAAGGCACTTCAGTGATTCTCCCACCTCAGCCTTCTGAGTAGCTGGGACCACCACAGCCAGCTAACTTTTTGTATTTTTAGTAGAGATGGAGTTTCACGGTGTTGGCCAGGCTGGTCTCGAACTCCCAACCTCAAGTGATCCACCCATCTTGGCCTCCCAAAGTGCTGGGATTAAAGACATGAGCCACCACACCCAGCAAGTCCACATTTTTTAAAAATGCCTACTTACAGAGAAACAAAACTGCTTCTTTTTAAAAAACATTTTCCACTTATAAATGTTGTTGTAGAAAACTTGTTACAGAAAATTATAAAGAAGAAAAAAGTAACCTGTAATCTTACTACCCAAAGAAAATTACTGTTAAAATTTTGTTGCATTTCCTTCTAGTCTTTTATCTATATAAAATTATGTATGTCTCTGTACACACACACACACACACACACACACACAGACACACACACAGTTGTATATATATATTTTTGTAATTTTAAAATGAATTTGAAGTATATTAGTCCTATTTCTTGATTTTTGTTTAATGTATTTTATTACATGAATATGGCACTTAAAATATTTTTATTTCTCTATAATTTTCTAAGATGGCATAACACAATTTATTCAACTATTTTCCTTTTGTAGATATTCTTGGCTTTCCTTTGTAAATAACGTTGCAGTAACATCATTAAATATCTAGCCATCTCTAACTATTTTCTCAGGATAGCTTTTTAGTAGAATTAGTATGTTAAAAAGCATGAATATTCTGGCAAATTGTTTTCTAGAAAGGTTCCTGGGGATTTTGCTCTACTCAGTGGTATGTGAGATTCTGTGTCATTACATTCTTCTAGTTCTTATTTAATTTTAAAAATTGTTGCTGTCTCTATTTCTTGAAAATAATGATTCTGTTTCTTATAACAGTTATGCTTCTTTTTACTAAGGCAAATCTTTCATCTGCAGTTTTGACTCTATCCCAATGGAGAAAATGTTAATCTTTTAGTAGTTAGCATTAAGAATTGTATAGAAAATGCAGAATTTGTTTGGAAGAAATGCATGGATAATTCATTTGTGATTAATGTTGAATCCACAAAGGATTGGTTCAAGTATTGGGAAACAGTTGTTAAATTACCTTTTAAGGAGGTACGTCCTGCTATTGGAAGAGTCTCTTTTGCTGCGGTTTAGGATGAGTTCAGAATACATATTTGGAATTAGAAGCTGAGATAGAGTTTAAATTTTCTGTTTATAAAAGGGAAGAAAAATTTGAAAGGCACAGGAAAAATCCAGGGAATAGGAACTCTGGAGAAATGCTATGTTGTGTATTGTGACACTTCACTATGACCTCACAAATAAAAACTTACGAAAGCCAGAAAATAGTTGGTGTGTCTGGATTTCTTACAGAAGCCAGTGAAGAGGCTGAGTATTGGCTGAAATGGGACCAAAACATGTTGGGCCAGGTGTACAGGGAACAGCTTTTTACCTCTCTCCAGGCTTCTTCCTTTGATGACAAATGTATGTGCCCTCCCTGTCCACCATTCTGCCTAAAAACTTCCCTGTGGGTTTCCCTTTTAGCCACAATTTTCTTTTCTCCCATTTTCCTACCTCTCTTTCTTACCCCTTTTCTACTTTCATTCCAGTCTTTGAATTTTTGACAGAAGTATTTTCCTGTATTGGGATATTGTTCCTTTTTCTGTCTCACTATATCCAAATCCTAGTACTTTTTCAAAATGCATTTAAATTCCCATTTCTAAGGTATTTGCTAACAAGTCTTCAGGAAGTATGTTGTTAGAAGAATTTATAAAGTCTATGATTTTTGTACAATAAAAAAGTCTCATTTATTTCACTTACTCCTTTTCTTTCCTTGCTTAGGTAATCTCTATATTTTATGTCGTGAAACTTGGTCCCTTGCTTATTCCTTATTCCTTCTGTACTTTCTTCAAAATTTTCTATTCAGGTATAATTATTTTATATATCTATGGTGTTTGTTTCACAAAAGTTCTACAAGCTCCTTGGAGACAAATCTTTTATTACTGACTTCTTTTCAGTTCCTCAGAGAACCTGATACCACACTAGGCTTCTGAAAACACCAGTCAAGAGTTGCTTAATGCAGGGGTCTCTAATTCCTGAGCTGCAGACCTGTATCTGTCTGTGGCCTGTTAGGAACGGGACAGCACAGCAGGAGGTGAGTGGCTGGCCTGCAAACATTACCGCTTGAATTCCACCTCCTGTCAGATCACTGGAGTCACTGGTGTCACTGGAGTCTCATGGGGAACACAGAACCTGCTGTGAACTGTGCATGTGAGGGATCTAGTCTACTGGCTCCTTATGAGAATCTAATGCCTGATGATCTGACATGCAACAGTTTCATCCTGAAACCATCTCCTCCATCCCAACCCTGCACCTCCAGGTCTGTAGACGAATTGCTTTCCACAAAACCAGACTCTGGTGCCAAATAGGTTGGGGACTGCTGGCCTAATATAATTGAGTAATAGTGGAGAATTAGTGAGATTTGGCCCTCAACTCACACTGGGTATCCAGTGCATAGCCAAAGGCCATAATGTGCAGTTAATTTGAAAATTAGTTGCATGTGTAAATTTTCAGAATTATTGATAACATTGTATTGAAAACTGGCAGCTTTTTCATGTTTACCAACTGTGAGAAACCAAAATATTTAAAATGAAAAATATGCTTCTTATTAGGTTGGCACAAAAGTAATTGTGGTTTTTGCCATTTTTTAAAATGGCAAAAGTACATTTTATTTATCTGTATTATTAGAATAATATCAAATAATCACTTCATATCTTTTTTCCAAGGAGAATTAACATTGTGTTTTTAAGTTCTGATTTTTTTATGTTATCAGTGACTAATTTTAAAATAGATTATAAGATGGCAAAAAGCAAAACAAAACACTAAAACCAATACCCTCGCCTACCTAAGTGTCTATATAGAGAGAAGTGGTTAAACAAACTGGTACAGCAATATTAAGGAACCCCAATTTGTGCTGAACCCCTCTCAACTCCAGTGGGGATTGCTCAAGTTTCTAGAGGTCAAGAGACCCAGAGCCAGCAAAGGAGACAGATGGTTTTTGGAGGGATTTACATACAGGGGAGAGAGTCTGGTGGCGGTGGGCTGGGCAAGAGAGCTAACTGCTTGCACCAGGCATGCAGTTTACACAGCATTTTCACTTAACGCCTTCTCCCTAACAACCTCCACCTGGTAACTTTCATTTAACCCAAAACAAAGAACCTTGGTCTCCTGTACACCTTGTGTTCCATGAGCCACGCTGGAGGATCAGATGTTCCTCCAGTAGGGAAGTATGCTGGTTTGTATGTTATTTGTAAAATAGGATGCTATCCTGTGGTTACAGTTATTAAAGGTATTTTTCCGTGATTAATTAGTTATTAAAGGATTATAATCAATCCTCCTATGCTAGATCATGTTTTATAAGTCTTCAGATTTGTGATAAAATACGTTTTATAAATGGAATCCACTATAATTACTGGATGAATTCCATAGAGATTTTCCATTCAGAAAATTACCTGAACATGTTATATTGCAAATGCTGTATGTTTGTCTGCCATAAATGGCTTTGTTTGACTGAAAATTGTCATCTGAAGTACTTTCATTATTAACAAGTTTTATAATCCTGTAGAGAGAGATACTTTGAGACTAGTTTCTCAAGACATTTTAAACCAAGTTATTTATAACTCAAGGTTTTCTGTCCCTTCACTCAGCCTGCTTCTTTCTCTGTCCCTTCTTTCTGTGTTCTCTTCAGATCCTATTTTTCTTCTCGGCTCCAGAACACCAGCTTACAAGTTGTACCTTTAAAGATTATAACAGAAATAATATGATTTTCCAACATAAACTTCTTGTATAGTTCTGATTATGATTATTTGTAGAAAAGTGAAAATTTGTAAAAACTTGGAAAACTGGAGTATGACACACCTCATAAAAAGAGAATGTGCATCAGTTCTCAACAGCACGGAAATTGTTCTTTTACTAAAAGGTATCTTGTGTTCTTAATTGACTCAAGCAAGAACTTTTCATGAAAGTACCAATTGTGGAGAAAGCAGAACATACATCCAGCAAAGAAGGACAGGGAAATATGAGGATTATTAGTATCACCATCTGCCTGTGGTTATGGCACTAAGCCCATTTTGTTGTTATGATTCTATATATTGGATCTTGGGGCTCCAAGATCTGTTTCTTAACTTCATCCTTTGTTATTCCTTAAATTGGGCAGTTGGTAGAAAGCCACAGAATGTTCAGTATTTCACTTAGTGTTGTTATATTGTTTAGATATAAGTGGAATTGTGCGAATATAAGTGGAATTTTAACTGTTAAACTTAGGATTTGGTGTACATGAGTCACACCTTTTAGCTTTTCTTCTGTATTAATTGTGTGTGTGTGTGTGTTTGTGTGTGTGTTAATTTAAATAGAGAGAGGGTCTCTTTATGTTGCCTAGGCTGGTCTCAAACTCCTGGGCTCAAGGAATCCTGCTTCCTGCCAAAGTGCTTAGGATTACAGGCATGAGCCACCGTGCCTGGCCACATGTGGGTTTTCTGATAAGACCAATTTTTACTCTTCTCACACATTCTCTTACTCTACTTTTGTTCTCTTCAGATGATGGTGAGTCCTGCTTTTCTAAGAAAATTGAAGTAAACATGTGCTTCCTAACTTCATTCGTTTTTCCCTGGGCAGTCTCTACTCATGCTTTCTCTTCCTTCTCATTTTAGAAAACTGTATTCTTCCACTTATGTTCTTGATTCTTTCCATTGTGAGCTCAAAAATCATGCCCCATTAATTATCCCCTTCTCATCTTTTACCTTCCGTCTGTCCCACTCAATCTACCGAGTTCAAAGGTTATTTTTTTTTATTTTAAAGGGGAAAAAAAACCCCTCTTTTATTAATGCCTTCAAGCTGTCCTTCTATTCTTTACATCCAACACTTGGAAACAGTAACATATGTTCATTTTTCTATGACCTCATCCCTAACCTCTTGTAATCCTAATTTAACCCTAGCCATTGTTGTATCAGGTACTACTAAGTCTCTAATCTTCCATACACTGTTCTAGGCATGGCATGGCAGTTGGGCTATGTATGCTACCTGGATCAGAGGCAGTGTAACCAGTTTCCCTGAAGGGCTGGCCTGGAATCCTTGCATGCTTCATGCCTTGCTATGCCGCTGTATGCTCTGTTGGTCCCTGCCTGTCTTTGGTCCTGCTGACCACCAGCCTATGTCTTTAGGAATTTAGGGAATGTGGATTCTTAAAAGTCCCTTTCTCTGTGCCAAGTGGTTCTCTAAAGGCCCCTTTCCTGCTAGTACCTTTGTAAGACTTGAAAGACGGACTTAGAAATTAGACCACAGGGTTAGGTAGTAAGTACTTTTCAATGCTTCTTTTTCTCGAAGATCTCTTTTTTTGGCCATACAATAGCATACTTTTCAGTTTCTCCTTTCCTTCTCCAACCACTGTTTCATTAGTTGCCTTTTTTTTTTTTTTTTTTTGAGACAGGGTCTCACTCTGTTACCCAGGCTGGAGTGTGGTGGTGTGATCTCAGTTCACTGCAACCTCTGCTCCAGGGCTCAAACGATCCTCCTACCTCAGCCTCCCAAGTAGCTGGGAACACAGGAGTGCACCACCATACCCAAATAATTTTTGTATATATTTTTTCGTAGAGATGGGAGTCTTGCCATGTTGTCCAGGCTGGTCTTGGACTTCTGGGCTCAAGCAATCCGCCTCCCAGAGTGCTGAGATTATAGGGCTGAGCTGCCACACCCAGCAAGTCACCATTTTCTACCAACACCTGTAGATGTTTCCCGAAGTTTTGTCCTTGGCTGTCTTTTTGGACTCCCTCATACTGCAGTGGCAGGATGGGTGACCCCCAGATATATTGCTCCAGTCTGTCTTCTCTCAGAGTTCTAGTTCAGCTGCCTGTGAGCATTTATATCCAGAAGTCTTGCTGGCATCTCGGACTTGTTATATATCAAGCAACTGGCTATTTCATAAAATTTATTTTTCTTCCTGTGGTTCTTATATGTTTTAAAGGTATAACCTGCTTACTCTCACATAGGCATGGAAATACCTTGTGTTCTTGACTTGTCTCTCAATTACTATCCACATTTTTTCAGTTGCAAAACCTACTCCTTCTTATACTCTTATAGGCCTTTTATTTCCACTGCCTGGTTACTCTCACTGTCATCCTAGACTACTGAGTTACCTTTAATTTCATCACCTGTTGTTTATTTGCCCTTTTGATTCTTCTTAATACACTGCTAAATTCACATTCATTACAGAAAGTTCTGATCACATCATGGCTCCCTTTTGTCCACTAATTAATTAGCTCATTAGCCTAGCACTCGGTCTCTCCATAATCTGACCCCAACCTGTATTTCTGGTTTTTTGTTTTTTTTTTTGAGACGGAGTTTCGCTCTTGTTACCCAGGCTGGAGTGCAATGGCGCGATCTCGGCTCACCGCAACCTCCGCCTCCTGGGTTCAGGCAATTCCCCTGCCTCAGCCTCCCAAGTAGCTGGGATTACAGGCACGCACTACCATGCCCAGCTAATTTTTTGTATTTTTAGTAGAGACGGGGTTTCATCATGTTGACCAGGATCCACCCGTCTCGGCCTCCCAAAGTGCTGGGATTACAGACTTGAGCCACCGTGCCTGGCCACCATTTCTGGTTTTTTATACTGTTATCATTTACATAGCATTTGCTTCTGGCATACTAAATTTTTGTTTCTTACTTCTATTTTGTTTTGAGATGGGGTCTTGCTATATTGCCCAGGCTGGTCTCGAACTCCCGGGCTCAAGCAATCCACCGCCTCAGCCTCCCATAAGGGCTGGGAATACAGACATGAGCTACTGGACCTGGCCTTAATATGCTTTTTCTTACAACTGTTATATATTTAAATAAAAATAAATGTGTTAAACAACTCTAAAACCAATAAAGTAAAATTAATATTAATTTAATTCAACATATAGCACTAAATTGCAGAGGTAGCACTTAATCATAGAATTATATATTTGCATATTTAGTATTTTACATGTTAGAGTCTTAATTTTTTGGGGGGGGATCGTGACAAACCAGGTTTTGTGCCATTGTTTTTATTGTTGACAATTAACTCTTTTTTAACCACTAATGTTTTAATTTAATGGACTAGGCAATTCAATAATGTGCCTT